TGACGCTGAGGTGCAAAGTTGGCGTTGTTGGGAGGTGCCTGTGAGCTCGGAGGCGGCGTGGGCGGAAAAGGTGCCGTAGGTGAAATCCATGGTGGGCGTGTTGGGAACGATGGAGACGTAGGTGGCGGAGGCGGTATTCCGGGTGGGTTCCAAAATGGTCGATGGGTCGTCATGGCATAGTGCATCGGGCCACGGAACGCCGGTACTGCTTGGTGCCATCCATGTTGATGACGAGGTGGTGTGCGCGAACGATCCGGCTGGGAAGGAGGGATTCCATTCATATCCGTGCTGTATTGGGAGATCAGGTCCTGGGACGCCATGATGTAGAGAGGATCACGAGATAATAGGTCAAAAGGCGCTCGAACTGCCGAATGAAAGCTGCGGAAAGTGTCGAGGTGAGACAAGGGTAATGTATAATTGAAAAAGTGTGAGACATAATACGTGGTCCCAGTGTGTGAAACGTAAAGTGGTAACGAATCGGACGAAAGGATCAAAAACATGAGCATGCAGCGATTCACAAACCTTTTGAGGAAGAAGTGGCGGCAATACCGAATGTCGGGAGAAGCATTGTTACTCCAAAATGATCGGGCTGGGCCACTAGGCTCACTGTATCGCTGACGTAGAATAGTCGATACTTGTTTCGGTGCTCCTCAAGGGTAAATAGTTCACCAACGAGATTTGGAGTGGTGGGTCGAATGCCGAGAACGAGGTCGGCCTTCATGGTGCTGGTCGCGAGAATGGTCTTCATAGTATGAGGAGCGGCGATCTCGGCGGCTGTAGGTTGAAGTGTCCCAAGAAGCATTGTCGTGCCAAGATCGGCGAGCATAGTCCCGAGAGCCAGAGGCAGCAGTCTCACGGTGGCTCGGTGTGTCGCGAGAGTCGTCTGGGGGCGGCTCCGAAGGTTCTGGGGCGTCGGCAGAAGGGTCAGGTCGTACTGGACGTGCAGAATCATCAGGAGGTTCCGAAGGTGCATTGGTCTCCGCAGTCTGGTGTGTGATCAAGCCCGGGAAAACCGTGTGAGTGGAGGCAACGTAGCATATAGATGCGGCGCTTGAGTTCATAGCCGTTGCATTGTCTTTGCCCTTGGCGATGCCCGCAAGGTTGCACAAGCGTTGGATTTGGTCATTTCCTCCAGCTAGGGCACGGATGCATTTGGGTGAGCGGCATATGGCCAGAAGGCCTGATGGGTTTTGTCCTTTGCCTATTTTGTAGAGCTGAGAGGTACAGATCTTGACAGCATAGCCGGGTAGGTTGTCGGTGTCTGCGATCTCAGAGGACATTCCGAAGAACCCGTAACACGGGTATTGAGTCGGTATGCCGGCTTCGTTTTTTGTCCAAGTTGCCGGGCGGATGCAGTCTTCAGCAAGAATTTTGGCAACTGATTCCCAACTTGTTTTGTGGTAGATCAGGTAGGTGCCCATGTATTCGCCACGGTAGATTGGTTTCTTCTTCAATCCTGTGGGAACCGTGATGGTCAGCAAGTTCTCTGGCTCAATGTAGAAGGCTTGTGTTTGCCTTGCGAGTTCGATGTCCAGCAAGTCGGATTGTGCAAAGGCCCTGGAAATATTCCTGACGGTGGCTTGGCTTGCTTTGATCCAAATACGATGGTTGTTGACGGTGCGGTATGGTTTAGCCAACTGTTCGAACATCGCGTCCACAAATTGGTTGAAGAGCTGCAAGATAGCCGGGGTCAATGATTGGCGTAGGGGAACAACATGATCGGGGCCAAGCTCAGTCAGGCAACGGACTCTATGGGGGTCATTGGCCGCCGCCACCATTTCATCGAGGTCGATGTCATTCGTGTCAAACTTGGTGAGCGAAATGGTATCTGCAAACTCAGAATTTTCACTGTCGCCGTCTGGAACTCGGAAGGACACCGCGCCGAGTGGTGCTGAAGTGTGGGTTGGTGGGTTGGTTGGTGGTTCCGATGGTGGTGGATCGGTAGGAGAATTGGGTCGAGCAGTGTGGTGGTCGGAGGTGTCGGTGTAGTGGCTTTCGTTCCATGTACCCCAGGTGTCATCAGCATCGGGAGTGGGGATGTAGTTCGGATTGGATGGGTTTGCAGCAGGTCGAAGTATGACTTCACGGCCTCGGGATCGGTGGCGTGGTGTCGCGGAGCGTGGGCGTGGATGGGAGCGATGACGTCGAGGAACCACAGGAGACCGGCGTCGTGGTGGTGAGCGTCGTCTGTATGGAGATGGGGTTCTGCGGCCCTTGTCGGGTTTCGTAGATGATCGATGACGAGGGAGAGGAGAACGAGGTCGCTCTGCACGTGCAGGAGAATAGCGATGGCGATGAGAATGTACAGAAGGTCGATGGGAACGTGATCTTGGAGTTCGGGATCGTGGTCGGCGTGTTGGTGGTGGTGGAACTTGTGGTTGGTGAGGAGAAGCGATGGCTGGAGCTGGGACAATGCGATGGTCCTGAACGTCCGGTTCGGTGGGTCTGGCTTTCGGTGCAGGTGGAGGCGTGGCGATCAGTGGTGGTGTAGGTGTAGGTGGCGGTATCGGTGGTGTAGGATTCGGTGGAGGTTCATCTTGTTGAAGAAGGAGTTGACGTTGTTCTTGTGCCCGTTGAGAATCCATGATTAATAGTTGCTGAGCTTGAATAAGTCGAACAGATTCAGCCAGTTGTTGTGCGGTGGAACCCAGGGATGCAAGTTCAGGTGACACGGATGAAGTCGGTGCTGTCGTAGGTGCCGGTGGTGCAGCGTGAGGAGGGGTTTTCGGAGCTGGCCTGCGCGGTCGATCCGGTCTTTTGTCAGGGCGATGCCTGGGAGCTGCTTTGACTGCTGGGGGCCGTGGTGAAGGCTCATTTGGAGAGACCGTCGATGCGTCCATCTGTAATGGAGGTTGAATGTGGTGAGGTGGGTATGGAGAACTGGGCAAAGGCGTCGGTGTCATAGTCGATGTAGGTGGTGTAGTCGATGTAGGCGGTGGAGCCGGAGGGGAAGCCCACGTGGGTGGAGCGGTGGGTGCCATAGGAGATGGGAAAGTCGACGGAGCGGTGTGCACCATAGTTGGTTCAGGAGCCAAAGGCGAAGGCATGGTAGGTACTAGCTGTGGACCTGGTACTGCATGAGGAGCCGAAGTCAATGAGGTGAACGGCAACGATGTGGGGGTTGATGTAGACGGCATGAGCGAAGCTGAGGATGACCATGTAGGATGCAAAGCCGAGGGATGTCCAAATAAATGTGCGTTCGGTGTTGATTGCTGCCACGTCGAAGATGGGTTCGAAGGCTGCGGTGGAGCAGGCCATGATGTTGGCGGAGTGTTCCACGGATGCATTGCTTCAGGAGATCAGAACAAAAGTGAACAATTGTAAGAATTTTCCCATACAGGATTCAGTCCCTAACTGCCTACAAATTCGTGCGATTATTCCCTGCACCGGGACCGTGGTCAAGTCAGCCACAAGGGCATAAAACGGCTTTCAAGTTCCATCGAATTAGATGCACAAAATGTTTAACCTCACCAGACAACCATCAAAAAGAAGAATACCACTCCTGCAAGACGTGGGCCTGCCTGATTCATATGTCATGACTTGATGCACTTTCGCTGCAAACGTTGCTGCAAAAAACGGAGGTTTCTGAATGTTCGGTATGGCTTCGCTTGAAAGAACAGATCACTGGGAGCCCTGGGACATCCGGAGCAGCAGGAGATCTCAAAATGGCTGACAAACCGCAAGGCTGATGGTTGCCCTTTACTTAAACGAATTACTAACTTAAAATGTGTGAATTCAGAATTCAAGACTGTCGACACTCACCCTGAAAAGGGTTGCCTCAAATGGCTCCATGGCACCATGTCGGAGCCACCATGGAAATCACACTAGACAAGAATGGATCATTATATGATCCGGCAGGAACTGAATCCTGAAACATGCAGATTAAGTACGAAACACTGAAATTAACAATGCATCCTACGAATAATAGAAGTACTTCAGAATGGTCATAGGGTTCAGAATCGACGTCAAAAAGAATGAATAAACCAGTAATAATACCATCGGCGAAGAATAACGTCGGCGAAACTTAGATGAATACCATCGGCGACGATGTTGTCGGCGATCATGTAAACAAAATAATACATAGGTGCTTTCTACGTCCTTGCTCTGAGGAAGGTTCTGATGCAACTGAATCAATAGTAAATGACCAAAAGTAATTCCAGATTGCGACAACAGTGCAGCAAATTGTATAAGATTGTGGTTGGGGTTCTTAGCTTGGCCCCTTGCTATGTCCGAAAAAAGCAGGTACGTGACAAAGGCGTCCCTTCGTCATATCACAGCAAATGATGAAGCGTCTTCGTTGAGTGGTGACTTCATCATTGCTCACCACTCCCCTGCAAATTAGTGAAAACCAATCAGAAGTTTTACATCTGTTCAGATGGTACACACACACACACACGAGGTACCTTTCATCGCCGGCTGCAGCCACCGCAAGGTTTCGTGCTCCGGCTTCCTCCCCAACACAAACCCCATGCAATAGTCATGCAGCCGCTGCAGTCACCACTTACCAAAGTCACCACTTACCAAAGTCACCACTTCCTTTAGTCACCACTTCCCAAAATCACCATGTTCCCTTCATCACCACTTCCCTTCGTCACCACTTCCCTTCGTCACCACTTCCCTTCGTCACCACCCTTCGTCATAGTCACCACTTCCCTTGATGTATTGTTTTGTTGTTATGTGATGTAAAGTCTCACACCACCCTTCGTGATGTATTGCTATGTGATGTAAAGTGTCACACCACCCTTCAAGATGTATTGTTATGTGATGTAAAGTCTTTTGAATAAAAGTCATCCGTAACTCGGAAGATGCTTCCCAACTTCCTTTGATAAGACCCGTAATGTGGTAAACCATTGCAAACCCCATAATAAGCCATCCCGAAATCAACATAAAGGGGTGGTATAAACCATCCCCGAATGGTAGGTTTATCACTGGGTTGCCCACATTAATGGGCTACAAATGGCTACGGCACCAGGCTTGTGCCAGATTCCAACCGGTCTCGCCTAAAGATCGCAGGTCTGTGGGCATGGGAGCACCGGGCTTCTTCGCAGGCCTGCTTGGAGGGAAAATCTTGGAGACACCAATCACATCCACTATGCAATCACCACTGTGTCAACTGCCCAGCCTCCTCACAAGGGATCCCAAGATATCCCAACGGCCTATTCTCTGGGATAGTCGCCGGAAGCGATCTGGAGGCGCTAGGCGGCTCGTAGTGCTGCCGAGGGGTGGCCATCACGGTGTCCACACCCTGGGTCTGTGCCTCCATGACGCCTCAACAACTCAATCCAAAACGATGGTCACCTCAGAGTCTCCAGCTTTAGCGAAGTTGTTATAAATAGCATCTTACAAGCGCTTACTATGAGATCTATGAGTCTAGAAGGGTATAACAAATGTGCACATAAGATCAAATAAGAGTCTGTAAGAGTGTGAGGCAAACCATCCACTGAAACCACAATCGATCCGAACATGTGGCACCTCCACTGGGCATTCCTCGGATCTGCAAATCCGCAAGCTCGCTGCCGCCGCAGGCGCCTGTGCCGACGCGGCCCGGGCAGCCTGCACCTGTACCACAGCTTCTTCGCTGAGTTTCTGCCGCAACTCCTGCGACCCGCACCTTCCAAATGTGGTGGTATGCTTGTATATTATATAATGGATATAAATATATATATATACACAGTATATATATATATATATATAATGAGCATCAACTTAATACCTTTGGAGGATGTTCTACCATGTTCTACTTCAGATCTATTTCGCACTCCAACTGTCCCCTGCGCCGTCCTCCAGCTCACAGTCTCTTTGTGCCAACTGGATTCTGAGGTCCTGCACGAAGCGCGGGGACAATGCAACCCATTTGGCCCTGAGGTCTTACTGTTGGAAGCTAATTGCTTGTGGACCCAGATCTCGCTGCAAAAAAGTGCCATCTGAAGGATGCTCAAGGCAGCTTTTCCTCGCTTGGACGACGAGGAGTCTGTGACTGTCTGGGAAAGCTCGCAGTTTCCTCTCCCTGAGACCCGCATTTGGGCCCCGAACAGCTGTGCTGACTTAAAAGACTTCATGCCCAGCTCTGTGCATTTTGCTTCGGCAGGCGTCTCACTACCAAAAAAGGGGACATCCAGCTCCCCCCAAAAGCATACGAATTGAAGATCTTTGAAGAGTGCCCACTGGCCCTCGTTCTACCATGAGTTCCCAGGATTACAACCGCGTCGGTTAATCCCGACTGTCGCCCTTGCTCAACTGCATGAGGATTTCCAGGATGTAGAGGAAGAGGTTGACAATGTCCTGCAAATATCTGCAAATCGCAAGGGTTCCCACAAATCGAAATCCCCACACATCCCCACACTACTGTCTGTTTTTAATCACACAGCGCTCAGGTCTATATAAACCGTTTCGCAACCACAGTCCATGTAGAGCTGAATGGCACCCTCCACGTAATCGTCCACGTCCAATTCTTGGGAAATGCGCCAGGTGTCAAAGACCAGGTAGGCCGAGAAGATCCCAGCACCCGCGAAAGAGACCAACAGACCCACGATGCCGGTGTTCAAGGAGGGGAAGAACATGCACAGCAAGCCAAAGCCAAAAAGGCCAAACGTCAAAGGCCATAGCGCAGCGCCCAAGAAGGAAAAATCGCGTTTGGAGCGGAAGGTGTATAGCCTCAGCCATTGCCGTTTGGTCAATGGTCACTAGTCACCAGGTTTGCCAAGGGGGAATCCTCCTGCTGTGGCGCTACTGTTCCACACCACTAGTTTCGGCAAGTCTTGCAATGCAGTGCAATCCAAGGCTCTTGGCTTGGTTCTAAGATGTTATGAGTTATGAGTTACAGTTATGGTGACTCACGTTTTTGCAGTTGGACATGGTATGCCTTCATCTCTATCTGCATATCTGCATCCTCGCATGTACGAGTCTCAGATCTGATCAAGTAATAAATGTTGAGGGCATTGAGGGGGAACACCCCGGTGGTCTGCCGTTTTTTCAGCCCAGCAACGTCAAGCCTGCCACCAGTAGGGCCGTGATCACAGCCGCCTCTGCCACCAACGAGCCCATGCCCGCTGAAGCGGCAAGGGCACTGATGACCCCCACATCACATGCCATGACGGCGGTCAGAGCACAGAGGCCCACGAAATTCACGGGATAACCTCGGATGATCCGCTTTTTTTCATTGCTTCGACTGGAAGATATTTGCGGTATAGTATATGCCCCAGGTACGAACGATTCTATGCTGACTTCATGGATCATGCCAGTGGTGACGTGATTTGGCGCTTGCAGAGGAAAAGCACGAAAACTAGCCCTGAAGCTACGTAGCATTGTTAGGTCCAGGTAGGTTTCGCCTGACTTGTAACAACCGGCGCACTATAGTCCCATGGAAATTCCGCCTACGACAAACACGCAGGTCCAAAATGATCGAATTGCACAACCGGGCAACTGTTCTTGCCTGCATGGCATAGCAGCAGGGACAAGCCTGTCGCAATCAAAGAGCCCCAACGAAAGGTGCTGGGCCAGTGCATCACAAAGCTGGTGGCCGGATGCCTCAAAGGTCCACAGCAAAGGGCTGCAAAGACGGCTGTGGCAACAACCTCAGAAGGGCGCACGCACAGTTACTCAACACGGACCTAAATGTTACCCATCGAATCACCTTTCGTCAAGTGCATACTTAAAACAAGACGGGGAAAAGACTCGCACATGGGGACTTTCCACAAAGCCGCAAACAAACCCTTTGATTCCACCTCACAAATACTGCAGCTCTATACAGGGTCCTTCACCCTGCCTGAGTGCAAACAATGCCATAGACCTTCCGGATGAAGCCCAGGCGAATTTGACTGTCGCTGATGCCCTTCAGGTCCCCAAAGTTTGGAGTAGTCTCGATATCCATCGTGCTAACCATGGCTTGGAAGATCGAAAACCAACTGAGGGCGGCTGTTTACCGAAGCTTGTGCTAGGCTTTCAGAAGATGGCAGCAGATTCAAACCAGAAATGGACGCACGTGGCCCAAGAATGTCAAGAAAACATGTTTCTGATGGCTGCAAACTGTTCTGTGCGATCGCTTGTCCCAAAGGGTCCTCCAACCCTGCCCTTTCCCTCACCTTGGCACTACTGAAGCTCAAATTTCCACCAGCAACATCCAGCACCGACTTTCTACCGCCAAATCAAAACAGCATCACAACAGCACATTAAACTTAAAGAACATCTAAACTATCTAAACCAATGATGCACCAGAAAATTTCTTGATTTGTGCCGCATCTTCTGCTGTCCTCCTCCTGCCTCAGCGCCACCTTTCGCGCCTCTTCCATGTATGCAATGTGAACGGACAAAATTACTTGTTCATTTTCATGCCACAAATTAGGGTCGTCCCCATCGGTCGTGAGGATTTCTGCGCTCACAAATTTTGAGGCGACTCATGCAAAACAGACGTATCGGCATAGGGTCGCCCCCTAGCGCAAATGAAGGTTTTGCATACCCTGTGACATGTGATTGTCCATCTACGGGATTTCTTATGGACTTTTCTAATTAAAGGATGTTTATGGATAATCATTGGTAATCCGCCTGCTTCTGATCATTGTGGATTTATGTTTACTGAATTGGTAAATGTCCACAACGCGAGGGTCAACTAATACCAGTCAGATACCATGTGTGTCCCCACCCCGCAAAGGGACGAATGGTGTGATACAATACCATACCTGACAATAGCTGGAAATGAAAAAAAGAAATCACATCGCATGGATGTATATGGCCCTGCTATACAATATATACAATTCACATCTGGTCAAGCCCACATTTTTTCGAACGGCTCAAAGATCAACAGGTGTGCCCCGCGGGCGACAGCCCCTGCCTAGTCTCGAGCCACTTCGGCCTCAGACAACTTCCGGCGAAGCTCTCCTCGCTGCTCTGCCGCCTCAAGCATCTCTGTTGGCATCCACTGAAAGGGTTGGGTATTTAAAGTTTGGCCCAAACAAAAAATACCCAAAAGTTGAAACATGGCCCCCCCAAAAAAAACATGATACAAATGACACAACTGGATCATTGGCATAAAATGGCACAAATAACTTGATATAAACCATCCACTCTTCCCCAAAAACCCAACCAGCTGCAACCCCTCGCCTCAGCATCTGCCGTGGAGTAAGCCACGAAGTGCCGCTTCTCGGCGTCGCTTCTGGAGGAGACGGCCTTGTCGAGCGTTGCTCTGAAGGGCGCGGATGTGGCAGTCCTGGCGTCACAACATCGGGTACCACCGAGATCCACCTAGCCTGAGAATCACATGGGTTTGGAAAGTTGGGAAACATTTTCACACCTCGATGCAAAATCTGCAATAACTGAACCGTCTTTGACCGTCTCCTGCCGCAAACGCTCATCCTCCAACTGCTGAGCTTTGTGTTTCGCTTCCACCAGAGACCACTCTCCTTAGTCACTTGTCATGCTGTTAAGTCATCTTACAATGAAGATCTATCAAGAGTTCGGCGAGGCACGTTTCATCAAACTCTATTACTATGAAAGATGTTAGCATCTCCCTTTCAAGTTTGCTCAGACAATGCACCAGTCAAATATGGTGCAGTCTTATGGGTAAAGTTGATTCATTTTGCCACTACACCATCCTGACGCTTCATCTGGCCACCTTGGCCCATCAAACCACGCGACCATTCAAAAAAAAACACTCACTGTCACAGAATGTGTATCTGTATCAGTTCCACTTGTATTTCAAAGCCACCAGCACGAAAAGTTGAAGATCCTGAACTCGAATGAATTGGAATGAGCGACTGTCTTTCAACGCTTTTCGCGCTGCCGGCAGCCTTTAACCCGTCAGCCTCAGCATCTTCTGCCTCTGCCTTTGCCCTCAGTTTGCTAAGGGCACTCTGTTGGTAGAGGCTCGCCAAAGCCAATGCAGATTTGATGAGGGCCACCACCTCCAGGGATATGCCGACTGATTCAGTTCCACCACAAAAGCATATAAAGGCATTCAGGTCCAGTCAGGTGAAACCAATCATGGCCACAACATGCCACAACCATCCACAACTCCACAACCCTTCTGTCAAATTGCTAGCCTCATTGGCTTCCCGACCCGTCCAATCATCTTGCAGCTCAGCAAAGGCTCCAGAGACGCCATCGGATCCATCCGGGAGATCCTGGTTCCATCTGGCCACCGGGATCTCACTCTCAGGCTCAGCTGAGTCACTGCTCAAATGGCCTGGGTCGTCTTCTGGAGGTGACCAGTCGTTCTCGCTCCCACGTAGGAGAATGAAAATGGTTGACGTCCACATTCTTGGCCAAAAATATTGGAAGGCAAGGTTCTATCTCTGGATTATCTTGGGCCACTATAAATATGTTCTTGAGACGGATTGCTGTGGCTTCTGCTGTCACTGAGTCTAGCCCGCCCGCCAGTGAACATCAAAGCACAAAAACAATCAAAAACCAACATAGCCTGTACAACTCCTATGGCCAGCCATCATCACCCTCTCCCCTGACACGTCCGACAACCTGGACATCCTGTATGTTTTGCCCAGCGTCTCCGTATTTCCAGGCACTCTTCATCAAGCAGATCACGTAGCCGCTGCACATGGCCCAGCCATGATGCTTTCTCCAGCCCGGAAGGCTGCCACCCCAGGATCATTCCCAAACCCAAACCCCTCAGCACGCAGCTGAGCAAAAAGAAACTGCAGGGGTGGAGTGCAGGGCATGATGTGCTCAATGCTCACACCTCAACACACCCAAGGCCCCAAGGCCCCAAGGCACCTCTCCAAAAGCGGCGGTCTTCCAGATCCACGGTGCAGCT